ATTTTTCAGGGTTTTTTAGTAAAAAACTTATTAAATGTGATACTTGTGTTAATCTGATTGGTACGTTGACAGGTTTCAAAACATAGAGAAATCTTGGTTACCAGGTCAGGGCCTTTGTCTCATGTCCACTGATGAAAGCATGTGTAATTGTATCAAAAATAAAGACATCCTGGGCGCTGGCCCAGCGATTTCTCCATGTATTAGTGAACATTTCCTTTTGGAGTAAAGGGAAATCAAAACTAGACTTCAAAAGAAATATGAATATGCTTCCGTTTTGTTTTGACTATGTTTCTCCCCCTCCCATCCCTGGCCAAAAAAATAGAATAAACTGAGCTTAGTAATTAAAATGTTATCTTAATTTTCTTAGAATCCTCCAAGATTGCTGTGCAATCTAAGAAAATTAGGATGCGTTTAATTTAAAACAACTTTTGTTTTCCGTTTGAGATTATGCAAGCACTTTCTCTTCATGACATCTGCATTGGTGGTGGCCTGCTTGAAACGGTTGTTTCTTCTTATTGGATTAAGAGTTTGTTTGCCCTTGTACCGTATTTTAATAGTCACTGCTTTAGCAGATTGGAGCCTCTTGACATTCTGATGGCTTTGGGGTTTAATATAATGAAAAAGAATAAAAATGGAAGTAATCTTGGAGGGTTTGGGAAGTCCTTGATCATAATGCAGAGAACAGGTCCTTCAGGTTTATAGGTTGTTCCAGCCAGGTGTGTACATCTCATATTCCGTAAAGGTCAGTAAAAAGGAAAGTAGAATGGAAGGTAGTTGCCTTTGGACAAAAGATAAGCATATAAAACAATGGGACCCTTCTGAGTATAGTGCTTGGTTCAATGAATTGATGAGAGTGGATTAAGGGAGGAGATATTTGTAGAGATTGGAAGATGAAGATTTAAGATTCAGAATTATGATCAGAACACTTCAGAGGGTTTTAAATTTATGATCCCAGCAGCCATGAGTTACCTTTAGGCATTTGACTAAAATGTGGTATCATTGTCCATGGAGAGGAATTCCTATTTAGAACACCGCTAATAATTGTTAAGCGCTGTTGCCTTGATTTCTGTTAGATAGGAGTTTAAATTTCTTACAAGGTTATCAGAGGTTTCAGGAATGTCAACCCCCTCCACACCTCCCTCCAAAAAAAACATGAAACGTGGAGCCATCTTAGGCCCACACTGCAGACAGTGAACATATTTTGAACTGTCACTTGCCATGCCCTGGTGGTGTTGAGGGGAAGAGATGGGGCGATCTGCCTGATAAAAGAAATAGGAATGAGAGGGAGAGGAGGAAGTGGTGTGAGCGGGCCCACGTCGGCGCCAGCCTGGGCCTGCAGCCAGGCCAGCCACAGGATGGCAGAGGGGTCCTGCTGGGGAATGAGTGGAGCCGTGAAAGAGGAGGAGGCGGTTCTTACCAACTGAGCCGTGACGAGGGCAAAAGGGCGGTTCGAGAGAGCCGTCTGCTCTCCGGCAGGCCAGGCCGACAGGCACTCAGGAAAGGCAGAGATTCGGTACGCTGGTGAGTGGAAAGAACATGGCATTCAAAGTCAGAAGACATAGTGCTTTGACCTCCATCCAAATTGCTGACCCTCCTGGGCCTCAGTTTGTACAGCTATTCAATAAGAACACTGGTCCTTGCCCTCTGAGGGGACAGGGCGAGCATGTGGCTCAGCTGTGAACGTGCACACTCTCAGGAGGCACACAGCTGTCACTTTACCTGCCATGTGAGACCAGAGGACTCGTTTTTTTTAGAAAGGTGCTAGAAATGAACTGCTGTGTCTTTCAGTAGTAATGTGAATACATTCCACTGATCTGTTTTATGGGAAAATGTTTTCAGAACAAACGACAAACTTAAGTTTTTGTTAAAACAGTTGTTAAATGGAGTACTGTCTAGAACCTTCCACGTGAGAAGCATTCTTCGCACAGAAGTGGCACCGAATTTCAGATGCGTTGAGGTGCGGTAGTCCTGAGTCAGGAGTCTGCTTCACGTCTCTAGGGGGCATCCCCGCAGCTGTGTGAGCAGTGCTGGCTCACACAGGACCCTCAGGCTGCGCATGGAGCGCGGAGGAAGCAGCGGGGCGCGCCCCCATGCCCAGCCCGTCGCCACCGTGCTTTCTTCAGCGTGTCAGCCGACACTCGTCTCCCCCCAGCTCCTACCCCAGCAGAATGCAGGGTCCGTGGGTCTGTCACGTTCACTGCCAGGAGCACTTGCCAGTATGCAGTCAGCACGCCAGTGTTTGTAAGAATGAGCGTGGGTTTTAATTGATGTGTTGAAATAAATGTCTAAACTCCCAAGCCATAGATTAGCAAGCAGGTGTGGAATAGGACCTTGGCTTCCCGGTGAGAAGTGACGGTGGGGCTGTGACTGTTTCGTGTTTGAATCTCTTTTGGAACTGGTGGTGGGCATCACCGTTCATGTCACTTCTTTTTTTCTGTTTTTTTTTTTTTAACTAAGCAATAACAATGAAGAAGATGTAGCCCTCACAACCAACAAGCGGATTTACTCCCAGCTTTTGAGAGCGACAGCTAACAAAAACGCAGCTCTTTCGGAAAGAATCGACCTTCTCATCCACCTGCTGGACGAGCTCGCCCCCGGCGGTGGCAGCGCTGTGCCATGACTCACGCCAGGGCCGCGTCCGCAGAGATGCTGTCAGTGCCTTCAGCACCGGGGCTAGTTTGTCCATTCGGTGTTTCGTCTAATTAAATATATGGGAAATGCCCCCTTACAGCAACAGGCCCAGTGGTGGGAATGCAGCCGTCTGATTTCTCACGACAGACAAATCATGGTCCGAGTCTTTGGCTTCATTGAAAGTGCTGAAATCGCATCAGACCGAAGCGCCCAGTGTTGATTTCTTTGAGAAGTGTGTGGTGCCTCAATATAAATACACTTGCTGTGATGCAATTACACTTTCCAATATTTTTGAAGTATGTTAAGCTATATGAGTTTAAGATACAAGTATTTTGGATAAATGTTACTTTGGTCAAGGGAACTTATTCCAAATTATTTTAGTCGTTCAAGTGGGTTACAGGGACTTCCTGTGTCTACAGTGTCTCCTTCTAAATGCACAGAACGAACTCGGCCCTTTTTAAGCTTCAGTGCAGGATTTTTTGAGGACTAGCCGTTGTGCATTTCTCCATATTTAGTGCATGTTCTGAAGGGATCTGCTTTTCTTTCAGTTTGTATGACAGTTGATCAAGAATAGGTACCTCCGCCCCCCCCCCCTTTTTTTATTTTAAACTTAAAACTGTGAATAAGGTAAAATTATTTTGAATAAATAAATTATTTATTTAAATGGCTTTGTCTTTTTCCATTTCATATTCTTCACATTGAGTTTTGATTTGAACTGGTTTAATAAATTTTACAAAGTAAAGACTAAAACATTAGAAATAAAATGCTACCGTACACAGAATTCTCCCGAGACTGTAGACTTACTACTTGCTGCTGGCCCACGGCCCCTGTCCAGCTGCGGACAGACGTGCGGCTGTTCAGTACCTCCAGTATGCAGTGGTACTGTAACGTGTGTCAAGCGTACTCTTGCCTGTCAGGGCGAAGTTTGGATTGATGTGCTTGACACCTTCGTAGACAAGCGTGCTGGCCCCACGTCCGCTGGCCTGGTCCTGAGTGTAGGACGTGGTGCTGCCGGGACTTCCTACAGTGCCATCTGTATTTGCACCTCACAACCCTGCGTGTTGACTGGCAGTCTCTCCAGCCACGCCTCTTTGAAGGAATCTCAACTGTGCTAGAAAATGGCCTGGAATAAACTTGTTTTAAGCTGAATGTTTATACCTTGCTTTCTCGTCCACTGAGATTGTATGTGTTTTCTTTGACAATGAGTCGACCTCTGTCATAGCTTGGCAGAACTACCTCTTGCCATTGTCTACTTCTTGTTCAGTTGCATTGTCCTGGGGACAGATTTGCATTAATTTTCAAAAATTAATCATTGGAGCATTTAAACTTTTGACTAAATTATAAAGTAGTTGTACAAAATCAGCAATGTCTCCTATCAGGACAGCCGACATTCTGTTCCCCCTGTGGCAAGCACACATGGACTCTCACTGTCTCTGCCAGTTAAACCTGGACACGTGTGTTGTACACACCTAATTCAAAAAGAGTTTTCTACCTATGTAGAAATAAGGTGGAGTTAGGGATGTGAGAGTTGCTTGCTTTGTCTGATAGCCTCTCTTTTTACTTAGCCTTTCCAGTCAAGAGGGAAATTTGTTTTTAAGCAAGAAGATACACATTCTAGCTATCTTCCCTTGTCAAAGCAATAATATGCAAGTTCTTACAGGGAAAAGAAAGGTGCTTTTAAAATATTTTTGTATTTTGCTGATTTTAATTTAAATCTTAAAAGTGCTTGTGTTTTAGCTCTTCCTTTAAAAGAATTGTGGTATTTGTGGCCTGAATCTTTTTCACTTAATTTCAGTTCCCAAATTTTGTCCACATCATTCCCTATAACATTGGGGTTTTTTGTTTGTGCTAATTAGAGGTCATAGCCATATTATGTAAAGTTAAAGGGACATAACGTCTATCCTAGAGATAATTGATATAGGAAAAACAAAGTTATCCAATTAGCTTCAAGAGTCTTCTTTTGGTAGACGAGCCTTCAGAACATAAATAGGCTGCCATACAAAGTGTTTCCTGCACATCATACAAATCGTAGGAGCCAGAGAACTGTCCTGTGCGGGACCATCTGGATTCAAACAGAGCATCCCAGGAACGGAGAGAGTGGGAAGCAAAGACAGCTTCCTCGGGGCTTGTTTCTTAACCTTTCCTAAAAAACCTGTAAAAATACTGGGTAAGTTATTTTCCCTTTTTTCTTTTTCTTTTTCTTTTTTTTTTTTTTTGCCTGAGAATTTGATTCTTAAATCAAAGTTCAAGTAATGCTTTTCCTATCGGGTTTCAACTTGGGGAGCCCTAGTCACTTCTGCTACTAAAAATCAGACTTTTCCTCTTCGAAGAGAAATCCTGTGGTTCTCTGCATTTGCCTGTTTTTCTCATTACATATTCAGGGTGGAGGCGTGGACATCGCAAACATCAAACCACTTCCCCGAGATGGACTGCTTTGGGAACAGGCCATTGGAAGGGAGCCAGGCCTGGTGCTGTCTGTCCGCGTCGTTCACCACTTTCCAGTACAGGCTGCCTTTCAAAAAGAAGACGGACTTGTGTGCGTAGGAGTAGTAGGCAGAGTCTATGCTCCTGAAAGGGTGGTTCTGGGGCTCTATCGCGGGGAAGACTTCTGCCATCTTCTTCGGGTAAGAATCAAGGACTTGATTTCTGTTGACATCGAAGGCAAACACCTGCAAAGCAAGTAAAGTGAGACTGGCTTTTCTGAAAATCCTTGGTTGTAGGTTAATTTATGGCGATGAGGGAAGTAAATCTGTGGCCTTGCACCCAATTCTTTGGGCTTCATATTCTTAATTTTCCATGTGATGGGATGACCCGCCATTGCCATACAGGTCTGAGAACAGCTTCAAACTAAGAACTTGGCCATCTGACAGCTTTCAAAGAGTGACAACAGCAACACCAGGCCGCAAAGCCGCCTACTTACAAAGGATCCTTTGAAGAAGTAAATTAACTGCTTCCTCCGGTCATAAAAGGCAGTGTCCAGGGGACTTGGGATCCCAGGAAATCCTTCTGAGATCAGTTTGGGGTAGCTTTTCCCTTGTTCGTCTTTTGCATGGGCCTGATCCTTGTCACTGTCGTATCTCCAGTACTGATTTCCTGAGAGCCAAACAAAAAAGGTGACTGGGGTTTATTACTGTCAAATCATAGGAAACGACAAAGGACAGCCTTCAGCGTAGGGCCGGGCCAACCCTGATGTTCTGCCTTGGTTCCAACAGGAAGGAGGGCTCTCACATCTGAGTGAAGCCTCCGCCCGCATGCATGTTTTCCCAGATCCTGAATTCCTTCCAGGTTTGACCCCAGTAACCCCAGCCGTGGCCTCTATCAGTTACAGCTCAGGACTCCTAACCCCCTGAAGGGTGTGCTCCCAGCTCTGAAATATCCACAGTCAAGTTCGCCCTGAGGCGATTCCTCCATGGAACTGGACTAAAAGAATTCTTTCTTTGTGTGATGTGAAGGAAAGCTAAGACCAGCTTTATTCGTGGATTCCTTATGGCAAAATTTGCAGGGCCCTTTCTTACAGTTCTTTGGCAGCCACCTCAGAGACCAGCACCATTCGTTCACTCATTCATTCGCTCATTCATTTGCTCATTTGAAGCACTCAGTGCCTTGTGAAAAAGATGAGGGATACCGACAATCCTGTGCTCACAGTCGGATGGAACACACAGAAACCAAGTAATTTCAAGAGCATTACAGAGGATCCCTGGTAGGGGCTCAAAACATTTTTCCCGAAAGCGTTTGTTGAATAAAAGAAACAGCCGTCCATAAGGACCTCTACCTTTAAAAAAATAACGTTCATCTCTTGTCCAAGTCCAGATGTGAACGAAAGCATCTAAGCTCTGTGCTGGGACTCCGTGCCAGCCGGTGAGGATGTGGATGGGGTCCCCGTAGCGGGTCCGGTTGTTTCGATTTTCATAAAGCCAGTACCAGCTCTTGCGGAAAAAATACGTGCTAAATCTCACCATCACGTCTCCACGTCGGTTTCTCTCTGTACGAATCCAGTCAAATGCAGTATCAAACGAGCCTTCGCATGAACCTTAAAACAAAGAAAAAAAAAAGTCTGGCCACTTGGCACCTGGTGCAGAAACCAGCAGTTCCTGTTTTCATGTGTGACTTATACAGAGACAATTGCAAAGCTGGCATTTTCTATTAGGACATCTTAAAGCAACACACCTTATGAGATTGGAAGTAGGCCTTCCCTCACTGCCTGGAGAGAGCTGGAGGGACCCCGCTGGCCTGCAGCGGTCCTGAGCACAAGCTCGTCTGGCTGCGTTCTGTTATTAACAGTGCTCCCGGTCACCCTCTAAACTGTCTCACTTTGGATGCTAGTCATATGATCACCGTAAGTATAGCTGATGCCTGTTTTGATGGCTGATTTGACTTCATCGGAGGGAAGAAGTCTGCTTCTGGGCACACACACGAGTGAGGTTGCCACTGCGGGAGTAAACGTGTCCTGGTCTGTGTTCTCCAGATGCTGCGTGTTGACAGTAGGATGGTTTGAGTGGAACAGAAATGGGGGCGTTTATGATGGACACGTGGAGGCTAGCTTTCCTTTCCTGCAGCTCGGTGCTAAACCGCTAGTCATTTCCATTAAATAATTAGCACCAGCCCTCTGGCCGGGTCGGGTCCATAGCCGTTAATGCTCATTGTGGCAGGACTGCTGGTCTTTGCCTGGGATTGCAGACGTTTCCTCCAGCGGCTTCCAGCTCCTAGAGCTCAGGGGATGCCCCGGCCTGGCAGGCCCACTCGTGTTTAGAAAATCCCTGTGTCCTCCTTCCACTCAGGGAACATCTAATGGATTACATGAAAGAGAGGACACAGAGGAAGTACCCATAGGAGTGTGTGCTTTGGCTACAGTGGGCGGGCCGCCCTTCACTAAGAATTGGCATCCCAGAACCTGAAGGCAGCCGGTGTATGTTGGGGACTAGCCTCCCAGTGAGGAGCGAATGGGGCCTCTTATGCTCTGACATGCTGAGTGTCCTCTGTCAGCTCCAAGGATCACCTCTCCGAGAACAGCCTTACCGTACAGCTTTTGAATGGCTTTCCTGTCTGACCAATCCAACTCAAGCGCGGGCCCCTGGGGAATATAATTTGGCTGCATTATGGATCCTGTCCTGTAGGTGTGAGGCAAGCCGAGGACGTGGCCGATTTCATGGACGGCCACCTAGAAGGGAACACAAACCATTGGTGCAGTGTCAGTGCTGGGTGAGTGCCGCTGGGACCCACCCCACCACAGAGGGCAGACCCGTGCCTCGAGAGGACAAGGGAACAATGCTGAGAACTGGGGAACTTTCTCAGAAGGAAGTGGGCACTTCCCTGGAGAAGCATTGGCTTTCTGGACTCCGGCGCACACGACACTGCCTTTTGCCTCATCACTATGGGCAGCTTGACACCACTTACTTTGAGAAGGCTGATGCCCTTGTCACTGGTGGGAGGTGTGAAGTGCTCATCATCGTCGAAGTGAATGTCGCCCAGGCGCCAGGCATGCGCAAACTCCTGACCGCTCCCATCAAAAACCCGAGGACAGCCCAGGTGCCGGCCTGGTGGAGGGAGAGGGAGGTGGTCCAGGTGAATCAGGAGTGCCCACGGCACAGACTCCTTCCTCCGGGGACCTGGGGACACGGACCTGGTAGGGTTCCCAGCCTCGAGGGCCTTGCCGTCCGGTGGCAAAAGCAGCTACTCCTGGACTAACGCCCCAGCGTGAGGAGTGCGTGACACATGGTTGTTTATAAAGCAGTTTTTTTGTATGACAGTCTAAAGACATAAACAGAGCCGTGTGCCGAGTGCTGTGGGAGCCGCGAGGAGAGCAGCTGTCGCGCTCTGCCAGCGAGGTGGGTGTGTGTGTGGTGGCACGTGGAGTGCTGTCAGAAAGCCGGTGGGGATGAGAGCTGAGCTGGAGCCTAACGACTGAGTGGGCGTGGAAGGCAGGAGGTGCTGCCCAGTGGCCACGCGCCTTGCATTTGTATAGGTTTCCAACAACATTAGGAAGTTAGTCCAGTGAGGCCAGCAGGGCAGCTGTTTGCACCCCTAGTTCCTAGGTGGGGCTGCTGACAGGTTATTTTGTCCAAGCCCACGCAGCTAGGAGGTGGTGGGGCCTGGGCGACAACCATCCAGTCGACCTGTGCCCTGGAAGCACCCTGAGCCCCGTGTGGGCAGTGCCCATTGGGCTGACCTGCTCTGAGACAAGTGGAGGGACCTGCACTGATGTCCCCCTGAGACCACTGTGGGCTCTTTGCAGGGTGACACGCCTGTGCCATTTCCAGCGAGCTGTGATAGAGTGACACCTACAGAGAGCTTACAGTATGCCCACATCCCAACAGGTGCCATCTCAGAACAGCCTAGGAAGCAGGGTTGGCGCCACTGCTCTGGTGACCCAAGTGGTTCCCCATTATGCTAACCGGGCCCTACTTCATGCCATGGGGGAAGGCAGAGGCCAGGAAGGGCACGCAATCTTCGCCCTTCTTACCGCGTCCAAAACCCAGCTTTATGTCAATTGTGGCTCCAGGGGCCGTGAGGTCCTCACGGAAGTCCAGTGGTGTCACCTCGCTCCACATCCTGAAGGCCAGCCTGAAGATGTACCTCTGGTCCTCCACGGAGAGCTGGCTGCTGTAGCCCTCCCCCACCAACCTCCAGGTCAGGGTCTTTTTGGCAAAGGCTTGGGTGCCCCCACCCTGCGGGGGGTTCTTGGGCTGCCAGCCTGGCCCTGGGAGCAGAATCTGCAGGAAGCGCTTCGGCCGGGTCCTGGGGCGCCGGCCCAGGAGGCTTGGCGGGGTCCGGGGTGCGGTGCTCACGGCCCGCAGCTGGGATCGAGGGTCGGGAACGCCGCAGCGAGGCCGGTTCATGGTCGCCAGCGTCGCCGCGTCCAGCTCCCCGCTTGCCGGCAGTGCGTTGACCTTCTGGAACTCGCGCAGGGCCGCAGCCAGGGCAGTACCTGGGGGGCCCTCACGAGACCGGTCCGGGCGGGGACCCCGGGACACTGTGGCCGCGGACCCCGCACCCGGGGGCGCGTCTGCCCAGCCGTATTTGGACAGGAACCGCTGCCAGAGAGAAATGCACGGATCAGGGGGCGGGGCCCGGGGTGACAGTGGATCGCATACATATGTCCTCTGCTGGTTGATATACTACACGGGACAGTGTGCATCTGTGTATTGTTATCCGTAGTGTATTACTTGTGCACCCACCTGTGTTGTGCAGCATTTCTACTCCGTGTCTATCGGTGGTTTGTGCGAGGCCCCGCACCTGAGGAGGCGTGTGGGCACACCTGTGTGCGCGCGCATGCGTGGTGCTGCTCTCGGGCTTTCCCTACCTGCGCTGCAAAGAGGTCGGCGATGGGCGTGGCCCGGCGTAGGAGGGACGGCGCCAGGTCCGAGCGGTCCCGGCTGTGGAAGAGGGTCTCGGGCCTCGCGGGCTGCGGGGCAACGAGCCAGCAGAGCAGCAGGGTCGAACGGAAGATGGGGGCCGCGAGCATGGCCGGGTCTGAGCCCGCTGTCCCGCCTCTGCCGCGTCCCTGTCTCCCTTCCTGGAGGAGCGGCCAGGATGCACTTATATGCAGCCGCAGGGAGCCGCCGAGCGGCCCAGCCCTTCTCACCCAGGCCTGAAGTGTGCCCACCTGGAGGCCCCCGCACGCCCGGCAAGTGCTGCCCTTTGAAGATCCCAGGACCACCCCTCTCGCTGGGGTGAGAACGCCTCCTCTCGCAGCCTGCTAAGTTTGCCACATCCTCAGGTAATTACATCCCGAACTTGCAGCCGCCTGTGGATTGCGTTTCTTTGGTGAAGGGGGGGTGGGCAAATCTGCTGCCCAAGTGAGCTGTGGGGTGGCCATGCGGCCTGGAAGTGGAGTTATTTTCCCGCGTTCATGAATACAGGTGTTTCTCATCCTAGCTAATGGCGACATGGTGCCCATTCTATGGGTCAAGGATTTTTATAGGAGGATAAGCTAGAATCACCTGAGGTCCTAGAGCATGCCCCTCCCACACTGCCCCTCACAGTGTCACATCAGGAAGGCAGAAGATGGTGAGAGGAAAGGCAGGCAGAGCCAGGCTCAGCTGCCCTGAATTTCTAACTGGTCAGTCCAGAGAGCCTGAGTTAGGATAAGGCCCCCCCAGGCACCGTGACTGTGGGTCAGAGCTTGGAACCGCAGCGTCAGAGGTCTGATGAGAGCAAGTGTGCAGGTGAGTGGGGCTGTCCTTTAGTTACTCCTTCATTCATCATTTGGCAAACACTTGTTACAATTCTGGGGATAGGGAATATAGAAATGAGCACGATATACGCATTCTTTGTCCTCATGGAACTTATGTCCTCATGGAACTCTAAGTGGAGGGGAGGCAGATAATAAAACAATGAATTAAAAATTCAAATCGTGATAGGGGCTAAGAATATAAATTGGTAAAGTGGGAGCCTTGGAGGTGGAGAGGGAGTCAATATTAAAATGGGCAGGAAAGGCCTCTTGCAAATATGAAATTTGAGCAATGAAAGAAAAATCAGAGGAACACCGTCACACGTGACAGGGGTTCTGGGGTGGTGGAGGCAAAGGAAAGGGCCAGTGCAAGGGCCCTGAGGCAGGCTGGCCGAGGCATTTGGAAATAAGGGGAAGAAGGTGTGTGGGGATTCAGTGACGGGGAGGGAGGTGGCGGGTTAGGACGGAGAGGAGAGGACATGGGCGCAGGGGGAAGTGTCTGGGGCTGGTGATTTGGAGGCTACCCTAAGCTCAGGGGGACTGTTTTGAGCAGGAGAGTGACTATTGATTTATTGTTTATCCTTCCAGTCGCTCTATGGATGATAGATAAAACGGGGTGCAGCCCAGGGGCAGGTGTAGATTGCACCCTCTGGCCTGGCAGCACCTCCTGGGAGTCCCAGCAACCCTTCTGTGCCAGGATGGTCTGATGGCCCTGTAGCCTGAGACCCTCACTGGGCTCTAGGATGTTGGGGTTCCTGGGAAGGACAGAGTACTAGACTGACCCAGGGGATCCATTCCTAGTTAGGTCCCTGATCAGGTGTTTGGCCCCACACGCATGGCAAGGCCAGCACCTGTGACATTAAGAAATTGTGCTGACAAGAAGCTGGGACACTCACCGAGGTGTCTGCACAGTCCCACTCAGGTCCTGTCAGCTCAGAGACTTCCAGAGCTGGCCATGTGCCAGGTGGGGACTGGGTGTCCTGCTGCGAGAGCCAGCAGGGGGCATGAGACTGGATAGGGTGGGTCCCCTTCTGATTACTCTGCCGCTTACCCTCAGCGGTGTCAATAGATCCCTGTGCCTTCTTACTGCACCCCCTCCCTCTCCTGTGGACATGCGCCCCTGGCACCCTGAGCCGTCACCACTGAGGGGACAAGCAGAGGGGAGGAGCCCGGGGCTAGTGGTCAGGAGATGGGCGTGGTGCGCAGCTTGGAATTTCTCCTGCACTTTCCATATTTTGAAGCAAAGCCCAGGCATCATACAAATTTTATGCATAGATATTTCAGTACAGATTTATAACAGATAGACTATTTGGGGAAAAAAGAAGCATACTACCATTGTCATGCCGTCACACTTAGCAGTAACTCTTTAATATTATCCAGTTTACCCAAGCAGCATTCACGTTTTCAACTGTGGCCCCATTCTTTATTAAATTTTAAATTAGCTTTTGCTGGGAAGGCACATCCTGAAAACTTTGTGTGAAGCAGAAACTGAGATGAAAGGTAGAATGAAATTACTTGAAGTGGCACGCAGGCGTGGTGTGCTTCCCGCGTGACCACGGCATACAGCATTTATGTAGAGTCAGTCTGGGCCCAGAGCCTGCTGGCTGCCCATCCCCACGCCTGTGCCGCGGGGGCTGCTCTGCTCCGTTCCCTCTGGACTCCAGGAGAAGCCTTGTGGAGCTAAATTAGCCCCGTTGTCTAATGGACCCGGCCTGGCCAGCTCTCTGTGCCTTGTGACCAGACCTGTCTAGTGCCAGTGCGCTTCTGTGGCTCCTTCTCGCTGTGCCATGTTACAGGTGTCAGTGATTATGGTTTTGATTATACGAGTCGTATGTTATATGTATAATACCGGGGGCGCCAAAAAAAGTATACACATGACTCGTATTCATCTCTTGTTATCGGTACATATTGAATATTACAATTTTAATACAGCTTTTTCCTTTCTTAAAATGAATATAAATTTTTTGGCACCTTCTGTATATATAACTGTGTATGTAACTGACATTTATATCATGTGTCAGTTATATGTTTTATATATATTGATAGCTTTATAAAACTATATAGTTATATATGGCAGTCATATTTGTCAGTATAGTTATCCATTTACTTAACTGTGTTAATATGTCAGGGGACAGATACCTGAACTGTGCCAAAGTGGCTGCATAGCGTTCCACTGTGTGGCCAAAACAGAGCGTAACTCTTGGATACAGGGCCACTTAACTGAGTTTCCTTCTGTTTTTTTATTGAAACCTCAAACTATGATTTGATTAGAAGACGAACCCTAAATGTTTTCTTGGGAGGAAACAAAAACCTGCAAAGGCACAAGGATGAAATTATTCAAAACATTATCTAGATAGCCTGCATTTCCTGGGAGACCAGAATCCTGACCATGGAACAGAATTGAGAACTCTGATTGGAGCTGGTGTCCTGAGGGCTGATGTCACACAGCCTGTGTCCTGACAGGGGTGAGACTCCGACGGTGCCTGCCTGTCCCGTGCGCTTCGGCTGAAGGCTGCGCTGAAAGTCAGGTCTGAAAACGTGCACGGCAGCTGTCCCTCGTGATGACAGTCAGACCCCTCTTAGGGACCAGAGGTGTGAGGAATTTACTGCTGAGGGGTCAGCTTCTCTAAGCTCATTTTTCCCTCTGTTTTTGCTGCATTGTACAGTTGGCCTCCTGCAGCTCAGGCGACGGGACTGAGGGACGTGTGGTTCGGGCTGTGTGCGCCTCTCTCTGAGCACTTCTCTCCCGTTAGCGCTCAGCCTTCGTGTGGCCTGGCTTCTCAGGGCTCAGGCTGTTCGATTAACCAAAGTGCTCATTCCAGGTAAACTGGATTTGGAGGAAGTCAGTTGGATTTAGGAGGGAAAATGGCGGGGGGAGGTGTGTGGCCTACAGAGTGAAGGGCCAGGGCTCCTGGAGAAACTGGTTCCTGGTCGGTGCAGGACGCTCCCCATCTCTGAGCCTGGGGAAGGGTGTGGCTAGAAGCTTCTAGAACAGCGGTTCTCAACCTGTGGGTCGCGACCCCTTTGGGGGTCGAACGACTCTTTCACAGGTGTCACCTAAGACCATTGGAAAACAAAAAGATATTTACATTACGATTCATAACAGTAGCAAAATTACAGTTATAGAGTAGCAACGGAAATCATTTTATGGTTGGGGGTCACCACAACATGAGGAACTGTATTAAGGGGTCGCGGCATTAGGAAGGCTGAGAACCGCTGTTCTAGAATCTCCTTAAACGCTGAGGTGGCATGACCCAGTTGTCAGTGGGCGAATTGAAAACTTTTTCCCCCAAATACATATTACTTACAAAATGGGTTTGCATATTCTCAGCAATGCACAACACAAAATTTTAGGGAAAAACATTCCCTTAGTTATTCCCACGGGAAATATTGAAGCCTGATGTACAGTGAGGGGTCAATTCTGACTCTGAAAAAATGAATCATTTCAGGAGTTCCAGGTGTTCGGGAGTAAAGCGATTCACTCTGGTGCAGGCCTGTTTGATATTGGCAGCTGCTCGTCACTGCCTGGGAAATAGAAAAGGTTCTTCCCACGTTCTCTCCTGATTCCTTTCTCTCCGAACTTTGCATTTCAGTCCCTTTCTTCCATGAATAAGCCCCTTCCCCAGCTGGACCAGCCAGGCTCCTAGGCCTCCCTGGGAGGACTCACCTGTTTCACACGCCTAAAGCTCTGTGGTTGGGGGTCATTCTCCCTCCACTGCAGGGAGCGCGTTGAGGGTGCTGGTGGCTGTGGGGGAGGGAGGCCACATTCACTTGCCTGCCTGCACTTCTCTGCCCAGGTGCCCGCTTGACTTCCTTCCGACCATGATTGAGAAGCCTGATGTTGAGATTATGATTGCCATTGGGGGCGGCTTACTGATCGCTGCATTTGTGCTGATGTGCTGTTTCCTCTGTCTTTTCTGCAAATTGGCCAACATATTGAAGTGAGTAGCATAAGAGTGAACAACGTCCCCTCCAGTGGCACCCCTGGGCTCTCTACTTGAGCAGCGTCTTCCCTTGCCCTGGGGCCACATCCTGGGGGAGGTCAGGAACAGCGGGCAGGGTGGAAAAGGCAGAGGCAGGTGAGTATAGCATCTTGGCTTCCTCTGCTCTGGCTGGCGTTGTGAGCTCCTAAGTGACTGTTCTCAGCCGGGAGGCTCTGGGTGTCAGAGCTGCTTGGCTGTCACCTACCTCATGGAGTTTACCCTCAGCTGGCCAGCTCAGCACACTGACTGGGCCCCTCCCCCCAGGTCCCTGGTACTGAGGACTGTGGGGGAGGCTGTGTGAATGAGTCTCTACCTCGTGTTTGCTCAGAGGATGCGCTGAATCGCTCTCCTCTTATCTGAGCTGGGGAGCTCTCGGGGTGTTCTCGCTTTCATTGCCCATGGCCTTGGGAATGGTGAGGTGGCCCGTAGGACTATGGGGAGCTGAGCTGTGTGAAGATCCTGGGGGACACCTGAAAATGCAGGACAGGTCAGGATAAGCTTGGAGCCCTTTCCAAAATGTTTTTCATGTTATCTGGAGCAGAGGAGCAATTTTCCAGGATGTAAAATGAATGTTGAAAATTCAGGGAAGTTAAACCGGAGTGGATAGCGAGTCCCAGGCCTCCCCATCACACCTGCACCCAGCCACCTGCAGCCAAATGCGTGTCAGGCACCGACCAGGTCAGACTGGTGCCAAGCATGTGGTGTGCATCCTTCGACTCCTCTTACCCTCACTTCACATTTATAAAAGTGTCGGGGGGGCGGAAAGCACTGGGTAAGGATTCGCGAGGGCGACAGAGGTATAATTGCGCGCTGGGGTCACATGGTGTGGTTTGCCCAGCTGAGCGCCTCTGGGCAAGAATAAAAAGGGGATTAAACAAACAAACAAAAAAAGAAATCTAATGCTTTTTATAAAATCTTTGAAGGAAACTGTGACAACCAGTGGCATCAACACAAAAGGCAAGAGGCTCATTTTGGAAGAAGGTTGCCCTGAGGCACTGCCATCTCCATGGTGTCCACTGCCAGCTCCCAATGACCACGCCTCAGAGCGACACTGCGGAGATCGTCCCCCTGGCAGAGGTGGCGCCCTTGTGTCTCCGAGCCACAGGCCTGGCCTGTGAAGTACAGGCCGTCCATGCCGAGCGCAGCTGCCTCCTGACTGTTCTTTCAAGGTGTTTGCGGCCCCCCGAGGGGAGGAGCTGTGCTGTCCTTGATCCCCAGGCCCAGACTCACAGGTATCAGGGGCCATGACCCGAATGTCACCTTTGCCAGTCCGGTAACACTTTCCACCCAAGGAACCTCTGAACTCGGAGAAAGCCGTAAGTAAACCCTGAGCACTGTTTGCTTGCTGATTAGAATATGTTGCACATTGCTTACTGGTCACCAACAGGCTCCTGGTCCTGCTCCACGGGCAGCAGAAACACTTTCCTAGGTTGCAATGGGAGCGTCGGGAGGCAACAGCTCAGACCTCTTGACAGATGGGGAACCGGAAGGTCAGAGGGCAGGGATGACTCTCATGGCGGCAAGCAGCCAGTCAGTGACAGGGAGACTGGGACTGGCTCAGTCTTGCTCCCAGTCCTCCCCGCGTGCCACGCGCCTCCCCTGCTGAGCTTCTGGGACCCTCTGGACACTTGTGACAGCCTCCCTTCACAAAGTTCGTCCTTCGCAACTCTCCTGGGCATGGAGCTGGGTGGGGTGGGGGGACACAGAGCCCCTGTAAAAAGGGTACATCGCCAGAGACTCTGCCAAGCCCTCTACAGCACCTCTGTACAATGTCTTCTCCCTGCCGTCCTCACCCAGCCCACATTCGGTCCCTTCTGATCCGCAGGAAGGACACTTCCCTGCCGAGGTGTCCCAATGCCTGGAACGTGGCTGGGGCTCCGTCAGGGTGTCCTGTGGGACTCCTGCTTTGACCCCCATCCCTGGAGGTGCTCTGCACACCCACACCCTCAAAGCTAAACTTCCCCCAGCGGGACCTGCCCCCGCCCACTCCTCCATTCACGCTCTTCCAGCTGCCAGGCCACAGACATTCACTGGTGTTAACTGGGGTCCCTTAAGAGGAACCGGGGTGCTTTAAAGCTGGGTGTCGCCTGCTCAGCCCCCGCGTCCTAAGCTGCTAACAGCACCTCCAGCCCAGCCGCCCAAGCCCAGGTCCCTCCTCGCAGCGCTGCCAGGGAAACCGCGCCTCTGCTGGGCCCGTCTTCTGTCTTGTGGACCAGCTGCTCCTCCCAAGTCGGCCGGAACCCGGCCTGTCACAGATGGGTTCCCATCTTGAACCAAACCGACCCCGCCGCACCTTAAACCCTGGCCACATCCTCTCCAAAAGGTCACTTCAGGTTGCTGTGGGGATGAAAGAAGACAGACATTTAGGAAACCCTGTCCCCTGTGTCCCCCCCCCCGACCCTCACGGGGCTGTGAGAAGCAAAGCTCCTACTTTTCCCAGCCCCCCAGGGGGGTGCTGCTCCTCTGCTTTTTCCATGCCCCCTGCTTCTGAAGCCCACGCCGTCCTTTTCACCATGTCTCCCCCACCTGCCTGCAGCTGGGTTTCTCTTCCTTCTTCATGACTCATGCCTGTCTTGTGTGTCTGCAGCTTCTAGAATGTGCCAGGGCTCATGCTAGAGTATGTTAGTGATCACACCCTGACTGGCGGGACCCGGTTCATATCATGCAGTGGTTTTCAAACACGCTCGCACATGGGAATCGGCCGGGGAGCTTCTAACAGCTGTTGCTTGGGCTTCACCCTGGAAACCAGCGAAGCAGAGTGTCTGGGGTGGGCCCGAGCAGCTTCATTTTCAGAAGCACGTCGCGTGGTTCCGATGTGCAGGTAGGTTTCCTGATTCATGGTCGATGTTTTAGGGAACGCCGCGTGTATAACGCTGTGCTTTCCAAATCAGTTTACTCAGTCCTCAGGGACTGGCGCTCCCCCTGCGTACCCCACCCACCACCCAGTCTCAGGATACGCCCGTCAGTCACCCCAGAAGTTCCCTCGGGCCCACACCTGCACATGCGCACTTCTCCCCGGTGGGCTAACCTAGTCCTGTGGTGTTCTTGTCCTCAGGGCGTCCCCGTCAGCTGCTCGCCCAGCCGGGGACCACAACCCCAGACTAGCAAAGCTGCAGGTTTCCGCCTCACATGCTACCTAGTCCTCCACCCTTTTTTGCCAAAACAGCCCTGGGCATCATTTAACGTCTCGAGTCTCCATTTCTTCACCAGAGACACGGGAGTGAGAGTGATGTCCCCCCGCCCGGGGATGGACGTCAGCGGCGAGCCCTGTGCACAGAGCTGCAACACTCAGGCGCTGCCCAGTGGAAGGTGCCCCCCAAGGCTGGCCTTCCAGCTCACGTGACAGACAGACACTGTTCCATTCAGCCCCGCTCAAAATCCAGGCCACGATTCAAAAGCGGAATGAAGTTTGGGGACAATTGCGAAGCCTCCGCAGGGCACTGTGCCTGCAGATTACCTCTATGACAGCGCCGCTGCCCCTCTGCCCTGACCAAGAGCTGCATTTACATTTCTGAGGAAAGTGGCCAACAGCTCACAAAGCAGGAACTTCAGGGTCCTTTTTACAGGACGAATAGAACTACTTCACACACAATGAATTGCGGCATTCACGCGAGTTTGTCATCAGAACGTGGGCACATCTGTTTCCTCCCCAAACAGCTTTGCAGTGGAAACGACACAGCACTGACACCCAGTCTGCACAAGTAGCCAGTGTGGTTTATTTGATTTCCTCCCTCTGCCGGAGGAAGATGGCGCAGGGCCTGGGTGCCGGCATGTGCGGGACAGGGTCCGAGTGGCCTGCACGGAGGGAAGGGCGGTGTGCGGGGGCCTGATGCCAGCCCCCGGTGGAGTCCCGATTGCTCAGGCATGAGGCAGGCGTTTGAGGACAGATACCTCACACCCCAGAGGCAGCAGCCCGGCCCAGGGCGGCCGCCGGGGCGGCTGACTCAGCAGCTGTGGGGCTGGAGCGCCGTCCTGATGCCAGCGGCCAGCGCGTGCGGAGTGGGGCTCGCAGCCGTGCAGCTCACAGGCAGGCCCTGCGCGGCCAGGGCGCGGGCGGTGGTGGGGCCGATGGCTGCAAACTGCAGAGAGAGGAGAGAAGGGCCTCAGTGGACCAGCCGGTGCAGGGCAGAAGCAGGAGGGTGACCTGGGCAGGGCCTGTGGGACATCCTGTCTGTCAGGGCACCGCTCCTCGTGTGAGAGCGTATAGATGTGACAGATTTCCTGATCGGAAGCCGGCGTTAGAGCCTGCAAATGCCTTCACCTCCCGATCTCATCGCAGCCTCACCACCAGCCAGAGCGAGATGGCCCCGCACCCGCGGCTCAGGTGGGCGGCAGGGACTCGAGGCCTGGAATCGGGCCACCGCCTGGGCAGCCTCCTCGAAGCCTTGGCTGCTGACAGCTCTGCCTGGTACGTTGGGGCCCTGGATGGGGTCTGGTGGCACACAGAACAGAGTGTGGCAGGAAGGGGTGGTGGCCGGACACCCCAGGAACGCAGAGCAGTCAGGACCAGGGCCCCATGCCCAGAGGGTCGGGACACTCTCTGAGCCTAACACTCCACCTGTAAACCCGAGAAGCAGTCCCCGCTTCCCAGGTGTGCTGTGAGACCCACCTGTGAGAAGGTAAAGGCCTTCACCGTGCCTGACTGCACGGGCTGAGTGCTGGCCTCTGTCCCCTGCTCACACCCGCACCCTCCTTCAGCCCCCACGCCAGGTCAAGAGCATTCCCAGTAGAGCACCACAAGGGTTGTGATTGCGTGTAGACGCGTAACCAACACAGGCCCTAAAACGTGTGGATGTGAATCCTTTCAACTAAAAGACATGAAAAGGGGAACGCTGTTGGGACAGATAGTTTCAAGATGTTTAGCCAGGACAAAAAGGGCAAGGATGCTAATGGCTGCGCCGGGCCCTGAGCTAAGGACTTTGCCTGCATTCTCTCCTCCAGTCCTGAGACTAATCCATCAGGAAAGACCGTCCACATGTCTGCGAAGGCCGCAAGGGGATCGTTATCCTCATGTGCAGTTGAGAAACAGGCTCAGAGAGGTTAAGTGACTTGCCTGCGAGCACCAGCCAGGAGGTGGCGCTGCTGAGCTTTAAGCCGGGCCTGGGAATTCTAGAGCCCCCCCTTTCCAGTTCTAGAGGGACCACGGGGGTCGGCTAGGTCAGGAGTGCGCTGACTTTACATGGAAACGCTAGGATAATTAATCAAAATTTTGTTAAAAATCTGAAAAAGACCAAAAAGCCCACTGAATACCTCACCTTAATTTGATGAATGTTGTCACCAGATAACTCTTGAATATGCTTGAGACTGTACGTAAGGCCAGAGGGACTGAAAAATGCGATGCTGGCTGGAACGCCCTGTAAGGAGCGAGGACAAGGTCAGTCCCCTGCCATGAGGGCGAGGAGAGAGAACGTCCCCCAGCCCTGTCACCAGCAACCCCTGTGCCCCCAGAGGCGGCCTCCAGGCAGCCCAGGAGGAGTCGCAGCAGGCGGGTTCCTGGTTGATATTGGCATTCTCTCATTCTCACCCATGGGGGCCAAGTTCAGGCGAGGAACTGTTTAGAGAGCAGGGTGCGGTCGAGAGGCCGGGCGCTGCTGTTGGTCGCTCTCACGCCCCCAGGTCTGGTCTGCTGGCCAGAGGACACAGACCCACGTGCCTAACCGAGCAGACATGTGGCCAAAATGCCACTGATGGAGTAAGGCGGCCCTGGAGCCCTGCTCCCTGTCACCTCTCCTGCCCTTCTGGAAACAGCAGACAGCAGACAGGCCGCTGCACGCCTTCTGCTTTGGTTTGTGCTGAAAGCCTGTCCCAGAACCAGCCATGCACTCAGAAGCCCGACCTGAAGTGGGGGGGGCGGGGGGGGGCGTCTTACTGAACCCAGATGTGGGGACTGTCAGTCAGCTCCCCAGAGCGCCCTCCAGCCCCAGCGGTGCCACCGAGAGGAAGAACAATCACAAGGCCACTCCGCCTCAGGCTACTACATCTGGGACGCTGCTCACAGGGCTCTGAGTAAATTATCTCCCTTAATCCTTATGAAAACCTCACTAGATGGTCGATTCCCACTTCACAGACACACAGATGGAGCCTTCAGAAGGTCACGTCCTCAGTCACACAGCTGGGGGGAGTGGAACCACAGAGAGGCTGCCCCCCCCACCGGGTGCCCGCCCTGCCCGAGCTCTCCCTGGAAACAGCACCCACCTGCTTGGAATAGTAGCTATTCAGGTTCACTTGGATTCCCGGGTGTGGAATCTTCTGGTAGACAGTGATGCTTTCCATGAGAATCCCTGGACACGATCAAAATCGGGAAACACTTACTACACTGGGGCACAAGGCTTAAGGCCTAAGGCCCCCCGGGCGGCATTCACGTGGACGGCTGGAGGTCCAGAACCATGGTGGCGAACATGGTAGCTGCAGCCAGTGAACTGCTTGCTTTGGAGAGCCCAGAGTCGTGCTGCATGGGCTCACAGGGTCTGCGAGGCAGGCTCTGTGGTTAAACCCGTCTCACAGACATGGAGCTGACGCAGAGAGAGCACGTGACTTGCCCTTGCTCACGTGAACAGCAGATGGAGAATTCAAATCTGTGTTGTCTCGACCTGAAGCTTGTACTCCAAACCACTGATTACTCACCCCTTGCTCCCAGACCAACTAACTATGTGACAGAAGGTGTGCAGGTGACACCTGAGACATCTGAGTCACTGGGGCATGGCTGGTTTCTGGGCAGTGAGAGCCCCGGGAGAGGGCGTGGGAGCGAGGCTTGAGTAGCTGAGCTGCATGGAGGGCACTGCACGCCATTACAGATCAGCTCCATCCTTAAACTTTCTTCTACGTGGGGACCCTGCCCTGGGATCCCGTCCTCTTGGTGAAGGCTCAGCAACACTCTGCATGTCCCCAGCTGGAGTTGGGCAGGCTGAGAGCCGGCCTGAAGCCAGGAAGGCTGACCACCTCCGCGCCTAGGGTGAGGTGCACCCCACCCTCCCGGCCTGCTCTGCCCGTGGCCTCTGCAGGGCCGACTACCTCCATCACCGCAAAGGCTCTGGGAGGCCCCACGAGTCAGCGCATTGTCACCTTTGTCCTTGAGCATTTTCGGCAGGATTTCTCCTTTGAGGGTTCCACAAGGAAACAGAAGAGGCAAGGCTGCTGACTCCCCTGTGAATAAATAACCAGACTTAGTAACAGCTTTGCAGAAACTCGGGGAGCTGCCGGTGTGCAGGGGATGGGGCGGAGCAGCTGCTGCCCTGCTCGACTCCTTAGGGGGTGCAGGCTCTGGGGAAACTCACACCCACACAAGCCAGGGGCTGCTGCCCTGGCCCCCTTACTTCCCCCCCCCCCCCGCCCCAAGTGGCGCCTGGGCTGCTCTCACTATTTAGAATGCAGCCTTTGCACTTAACTAGTGTTAGAAGGTTAGAGGGCAGGCCTGGTGTTGGCACTGGGGCAAACATTTTCTACTTCAGAGGCAGCCGTGGATGGGACTACAGGTGGCTGGAGCAGGCGCTCCTGCTCATAACAAGGCAGAGAAATGGCAGCCAACAGAGGCTCGGCAACCACCCCCAACGAAGACAAACTTCATGTCCACTCCTGTCCCAGCCAGGACAGCAAGCACCAGCCAAGTGCCCAAGGGGCTTTCTGGCAAGCCCAACCACAGGTAGGCAAGGGGCCTTCAGAAGATTCCAGAATCTGCGCTTTGCAGCTTCTCTTCTGCAGGTCCAGCAGAGTATCGAGCTGTCGCTTCTCATTCTGACTGCGGTGGGAGATGGGGAGCTTGGGTGCGCATCCCGGTACAGGGCACGCGTCTGTTTCTCCCTGCACCACCCGTGCCCGGCAGAAAGCCAGGTGGTGCAGGGCCAATCGGCTCTGCTGCCTCATGGGAAAACACTGCCTTGCCAGCACAAGGGAGAAAACCTGAAACCTCCTTCCTGCCGAGGGGAGATCTATGGCAACTGTACTTCCTGGGAGCGAACCCCCTTCGAGAAGTCAAGGGCAAATCCAGGCAGACCTTGGAGATACCGCGGGTTTGCTTCCAGACCACGGCAATAAAACATATATCTCAGTAAAGCAAGTCGTAATCTTTGTGCTAGTGGAGGGTCTTGCCTTCAGTTTGTAAAAAAACACATCTGTGAAGGGCAGTAAAACAAGGTGTGCCTGTAACCCTTTCTTTTTTGTGACAAGCTTATTGCCTACAGATCTGCAACCCCGATAGGCCAAAGCTCCATGGCTGGCTGGTTCTGCAGGAGATGAGGTCTCCCCGGGACAACAGGGAGACGGGCCTGGTGGGAGTTGAACCCCACACGAAAATGGAGGATCACACGGGACAGAGGCCCTGGGGGGTCCTCATTCCTTTAACAGGACGGAGGCCCAGACCGCTGGGCTGAAGACAGCCAAGGGGTCGGAAAGCCTGACTGTTGCACAGCTGGGGCCGGGGGCTTGACAAATAATTACTGTAGGTCATTAAGACGAGACCGATTTTTTAAAATGTCATTTCACTGGAGATGTGAGTGTCTAAGACTCTGACGACTTCACGTCTGCAATGATGTCAACCTCTCAGGCGCTGCTGTGAGGATCAGGTCGGGCAGGCAGGTCGGGCAGGCTGTGGGACTAACTGTAGGTAATTAGGGTAATGGGGCTGATTGGGAGGATGGAGGAAGGGCCCAGCAAGTCTGCCTTTTCTGTCAGCTCCAGGTCAGGAGGACATTTAAAATAAACTGCAGTCTGTCTGCTTCTCTCTCTCTCTCCCTCCTCTCTCTCTCTCTCCCTCCTCTCTCTCTCTCTCTCTCTCTCTCTCTCTCTCAATTCTCTTCTTTTACCATTTAACTTGTATTTTCTTTTCCATTAGAGGAGATATCCCGGGAGGAATGAAGAATTGTCTATCAGAACAATGAGCTATCAGATTAAATCAGTTAATAGTTTTAAGTGCTTCCAATAGTGCCTGTCACATAGTAAATGTTTGTTAAGTAACATAAATAAGCAATAACTATGAATTGGCCTATTTACTCCAAGCATTGGAAGTAGATTCTTGCTTCTAAAATTAAGCTTCAGAGTTTACTTGGGGAGAAAATCTTGAATGCCTTGGGAAAACCAACGTACAAATCCTGATTAGCTGTCAAGATGGATTCTTAGTAGGATATTCTTGAAGATTTATCGGGGTGCACGGACATGCTGGTGATAAGTCAGAGGGAGTTCCAAGGCTCTGCAAGGCCCCTCCGAGAACCCTGCCTGCATCACCGCCCAGCCTGGGGTCAGCTAACGGAACCAGCAGTGTGGTGTCTCGGAAGTGACAGGTCCGCTCAGCCTCGTGTTTGCAATGCAAGGAACACGGCTTGCTGGCCCTGGAGCTGACAGTGAGGAACGACTCGGTTCTCTTCCATCTCCTTCCAGAAGTAGCACATCAACGGTGAGCACAGCCAAGCCATCTGCTGGGGCAACAGGCCGGGCCTCCTTCCCTTAAGGAGCACAATTCGTCCCGGTCCCACCCATAGAACCCAGAGTTGTTCTTGGTGAACCATGGCTCTTCGTCCCAGGAGCTACCATTTGTACTGACTTCCACATTAAAAAGACGGGCTTTGGGAGCCTGCCGGGTGGTGCAGTTGGTTAGAGCGCGAGCTCTGAGCAACAGGGTCGTCGGTTCGATGCCCACATGGGCCAGTGAGCTGCACCCAAGCTGAGCTGCCAATGGGCAGCTGGATGGCTCAGTGTGCAACAAGGTTGCCGGTTTCATTCCCGCATGGGATGGTAGGCTGTTGCCCCCCGCAACTAGATTGAAAGCGGTGACTGGACTTGGAGCTGAGCTTGCGCCCTCCACAACTAAGACTGAAGGACAGCTTGACTTGGAGCTGATGGGTCCTGGAAAAACACAATGTTCCCCTTCCCCAATTCCCCAACACTGTTTCCTTCCCCAGTTCTCCAATAAAATCTTTAAAAAAAAGAAGGGCTTTGGTATGTTGAATGGTGACCATTATCCTATGAAAGCACATTAGACACACAGAGCCTGGAGCTGGATCGTTCTGGAAGGTCTGCATCCCATGGGGATAGGGGAGGAGCCCAGCCACACTGCCCTCTACCCCCAGGACGAAGGCCCACCGCCTCATTTTGTGTTGTGTTTGAGTGGTCTCAGTCCTTTGGTGTAGGGGTGGCGGGAAGTGGCGCGACTCAAGCAGGCACAGACATTCGCAAGTACAAGGCTCAGGTCCCAGGAGTGGCCCCACACTGCGTGTCAACCTGCGACATCATGGGGAGCGCGCCAAGGAGACAGTCCTTTCCCTGGGTGGCAGCTGTGGGACCAACACACAAAAATAAATGGGCTTTATCTAGGGTGACTTTTTTCTACTTACTGGAACAAATATATTCTGCAAGCTTTTCTGCATTTCCACAGCTTTCTCCTTCTGTATGCAGGCCAATTTTATTCACTGCAAAACAA